ACTATGCTCTGCGCTCTCGCTCTCTTATCTACTCTCTTCTCTCTCTCAAATTCTCTGCTCTCTCGATAGCGATAGATAATAGATACTCCTTTCCAACAACCTGCGCGCCAACTTTATTTTTATGTGTTCATTGTTACTTGTGCTTGAGCACCATTTTACTTATTTCAAGAATTAGTTTTAATTATTTTCTAACATTTTTAATTTGTTTTACAGGATGTTTCACAGTGCCTGGGCCTAGTGGCCCACAGGCGGGTGTTTATCCAGCAGCCAGAACATCCATCTGTGCCTGCCCCTAGGTCAAGATCTACTGTGGCTCAAGGGCCTTCACCAGAGCCATCACCACCAAGGACCAGAGGACCAGCATCACTACAGCTGCCTCCACCTCCACCTCCACCTCCATCTGTGCCTGCCACCAGGTCAAGATACACCTCAGCACAAAGGCCCCACCACAGCCATCACCATCAACCCAGCCAGCAAGGAGGTCTCGTGGAGGTCTCATTACATTACATTACATTGCATTTAGCTGACGCTTTTATCCAAAGCGACTTACAATAAGTGCGTTCGTCCAACAAAATACAACTTGAAGAAAACAGAATCATATAAGTACATCAGGTTTCATAGAGCAAACACATTTCAAGTGCTACTCAACTGGCTTTAGAAAAGCCAGTCCTTTATTAGTATAAAAGTGCTTCGTTAATAGTTCTATCGCTCGAAGTGGAGTCGAAAGAGATGAGTTTTCAGTTTGCGCCGGAAGATGTGCAAGCTATCTGCCGTCCTGATGTCAATGGGGAGCTCATTCCACCATCCTGGAGCCAGGACAGCAAACCCACGTGTTTTCGCCGTTGGGAACTTGGGTCCCCCTCGCAGCGAGGGCGCAGCGAGTCGTTTGGCTGATGCAGAGCGTAGTGCACGCGCTGGGGTGTACGGTTTAACCATGTCCTGGATGTACGAAGGGCCAGATCCATTCGCAGCATGGTAAGCAAGTACCAGTGTCTTGAAGTGGATTCTAGCAGTTACCGGAAGCCAGTGAAGCGAGCGTAGGAGCGGAGTAGTGTGGGAAAATTTAGGAAGGTTGAAGACCAGACTAGCCGCCGCATTCTGGATGAGCTGCAGAGGTCGGATGGCACATCAAGTGCTATACACATCTCGTATAGCACTTGTACCCCCCACCTACACAGCAGCCAGACCCACTGTCTTGGAAGACAGACAAAGACATTGACACTGTCTTGACATTTATAATGAATAGTTGGTTGAAAGTTGTGATGTTCAATATTGTAAATAGTGAGATTTCCCAGTTTCTTATATTTATATAAAAGATTGGTTGAAAAAAACATTTATAATAAATTGTTGGTTGAAAAAAAAAGTTTGAATGCTCAATTTGTATTTGTACAAATCACATGAACCTTGGTATATAATATGAAGTCATTATTCAGTCCTAATGTATCTCAGTCCCTACTGTGGTGAAAGTAGAGTGATAAACACCTATGTTACTCAAAATTCGAATTGAATTTGTTTCATTTTAGACATGAATTACACATTTATATCCAGTGTAATTAAAATATTTCACTACTTTTGTGATCAAATCTAAAACACCCAAAACATTTGATGAAATTAGTAAATTTGTGTTTTCACAAGAGTTTTGAAGATTTTCAGAAAATTGGATGTCAAATGTTAATCTTTAGAGCTACTTATCTCATCACAAAGTGCTCTAAGGTGAGTCATTTGCATTTATAGCAAGATCAGAGATTGTTCTGAACATTTTGATATGTAACACATGGGGTGCCATGCAGTTTGTAGCCTGTATTTAACCAGGTGAAAGCCCCTTGAGATCAAAAGATCTCTTTTTCAAGGGTGAATGATGCAGTGGCGGCGCCAGGGTATGGCTGGGGTAGGCTACAGCCATACCAAGAAATGGCTTAGCCCCACCTTAGCCCCACCATGAACAATGATGTTAAAGTAAGCAAAATAAAGTCCGCCAACTCGCGCGGAGTAAATTGCACAAACAGCAGTTAGTAAGATTGATTTCAGTAGCCACTTGTCTGGAAATACCGAAGACCAGAAACGGTGTTGAAAACTTTTGTCACGTAGTGATCGTCTTCTCAGTCGAACATCTTTGACAATGTCTTCTGGCCAATCAGAATCAAGATAACGGTGTGGTGTTGTTGCAGGAAGTCCCGACGGAGAATACTTTTGCTGTAGTACATCTCTATAGAGTGGCGAAGTCCCTCCCCTTCCGGTGGACCTCCATGGGACCTTATTTCGAAAAAATTATGTATTGAAGTCAATGGAGAGATAAAGATTATCTTTCGATCCCGTTTGAATTGTGCCACGAATTACACATATGATGTTTGTCAATTTAAAAGATAATTTTGCAAGTCAAAAAAAATAAAATGTGTCGTAAAACATTTGTTTGTGTGAAACGCTCATTGAACTACATCTCTGGTCTCGCAGAACAACACACCAAGATGGCCGTCACTACTGTCTTGTCAACAAAACGATTGACTGCCCTCACTATCACCACAATGAAACACGTCCAGAAGAATGTCATGCAAAGCTGCCTGCCTTCCTTCCTTTGATTCTCTCTGAACTGCCTGGTCTTTTTAATGTTTAATGTCAACCATTTGTGCAGATAGCATGAAGTAGAAAATATTGGCGATCGGCGATGCTAGCGTTAGCATTTCTCCCCCGGGCTTAAATTGTGTATTATAGAACGATCACACCGGTGACAGTACTCTTCAAAGGGTTCACGAAATATGACTACTACTCTTACTGTTTAACATTTTGGGTTAATTCATATTAAGGCTAATAAAAATGATAAGCTGTAATGCTAACTAACGTGCTAGCTACTAGCTAGGTAGCTAATTGATCCAGCCACTCCTGGTCCTTTCATCAGACGGGAAGCCAAAGAACGAGCAAGACCCATTACTGGTATGATAACAACCTGGTACTATGCACACAGGCATCTTGTTAAAGTTATCTTATCTTAGCCAGCGCCATATAGATATATTATATCTATATGGCGCTGATCTTAGCTATCTCTTAGTTGAGGAAAACAATTCTGACATCACTTATGCGACTCTGGGATTTGTAGTCTTTCTAGTTGCGTATTTTTCAGTCTAATATTTCAACAGTTTTACGACAAACTGTGACTTTTTTGGCATGGAAATTATTTTGTAAGATTGACAAACATCATATGTGTAAGTCATGGCACAATTCAAACGGGATCGACAGATACGTTTTCTCTCTCCATTGACTTCAATACATTATTTTTCCAAAATAAGGTCCCATGAACCGGAAGTAGATGGGCGTGACTTATCCACTCTATATACATTGATACAACATTACGTGTCGATAGAAATCAACACGTAATGAAATAAGACCCCACGGTTTGATGATTGATAGGTGTGTGGGCTGTCTTTCATTTTTGACACACAGAACAATGAGGGCTATCCACCCTTATCCACAATGTAAAGTCATTCACAGCCTCTTCTCTCTGTGAGGAGCAGCAGGTTCAGCTTTCAGAACAAAGTAACAAAAAACTAAAATGGCATTCATTTTTTTTAAATATGTCGTGTAGTAATAGATTTATTTATTTTTCTTCTCAAGAGAGTACTAGAATGTGTATTTTATGTTAGTATTTCAAAAAATCTCCTGGGGGAGAATCCCCCCAGGCCCCCTGCAGGGGTTGGGTTTTCAGCATGTCAACTCTTTCACCTGTGGGGAAGTTGCAGGATTGGTTCCAGGTCGCCCTTTTTATCTACAACAAGACAAATGTGCCTTTTTATTTCATACAGTTCAATTTGGATTGAGACAGGGAAATAATCTAAACCTCACGCGTGGCGATTCACTGTCAAGGGGGGCGATATAGCGTGTATGTAATTACATTGCAAATACTGACTTGAGCCACACCACTGTATGAGTTAGCCCTACCATAGATTACCCAACAAAAATACTCTGGCGCCGCCACTGGTGCCATGTATGAAGAGTTTATCGCCGGCCACTGGAGGGCAGCATCACCATTTTAGTTCAAACATTGTTCATTCACTCCGCCTCGAGTTGAGACGTTCATCCACTCATTCATGTAAGATTGTTTCCACTATTGTTTGGTGTGTCTATACTCTGTGTCGTTGTATATATTTGTATT